GCTGGGAATTACTGTGCCCCATCCCCACTGCCACCTTTTCTGCGTGGCTCTGAATGGGCAGAAGTCCCTGCCTTTGTCCTGTGTCTCTGTGCTCAAGGATGCTGATGGCAAACCTTGTAACCCAGTTCTCTGTATTTCCTGAGTGCCCTGCAGTAGGCAGGGGTCATGTGACCAGACTTGGCCAATGATGTGCCTTTAAGTAGCAGTGATCCGCTCTGTTTTGTTGATGGTTGAAGTTCTTACTGATACCTCTGGATTCATAGCTAAGATTTGCTGCCGTTTCCCATTTGTTGTCCACATTGTTTCAAGTCTTGTCTTACGTTTTTTGTTCTTGTTTTAAGATTATTTGAAAGTCAGGGTTACAGAAAGGGAAGAATCCGAGTGAGCTCTTCCACCTGCTAGTTCACTCCCTAGATGGCTGCCGTGGCTCGGGCTGGGCCAGACTGGAGACTCCCACATGGGTGATAGAGGCCCAAGCTCTTGGGCCATCTTCCTTATAGAATGGCTGGGATGTGAACCAGTGCCCGTATGGGATGCCAGCGTCACAGGTGGCGGCTTTACCAGCTATTTCACAGCGTCCCCTTGTCTTCTAGTCTTTTCCTTCTGTGGTTTTAAAGTTTCCATTTTCTCTTTCTGGATATATCAGGTGTACTTCGTTGTAAAGCTTTAGTGTAATTGTGCAGTTTTTGATACACATTAAACCAAGTAACTGACACATGTGGAATGCCAAGAGGTACTAAGTATCCAGTCTCCTTTAGTACCTCCTCTAACTGGGCTGTTGTTCACTTCCTTTTTCCATAAATGGTCATCGTTGAAACACTGTTGTTACCCTGGGATGTGGTTCCCTGTGCCCCTGGTAAGAAAAGCAAGTGTGTATCTGACTTCCGCTCATCCCCTCTGAAGCTCCTCCCTTCTGATGGGGGTCTGAGTTTCCCGGTGATGTCATTTTTCTCTCTCAGGAACTCCTTTTAGCCTGTTTCCCAGTCCCATTGGTTTTCAGTCTACCTGACAAGTATTTTGGATTTTATTTTGGCCTGAACCACTACATGTTTCATCTTCCCTTTTGAAGGATAAAAGATTCCAGGATGGAGGGTGTAATTTTTCCCTCTAAAAATCCCAAATATGTCATTCCTTCTTGCTTGCATGGTTTTTGAAGAGAAGCCAAATGTACTTTTTACCTTGCTTTTCTACAGGGAAGGGGTTTTTCCCCCTCTTTTTTGACCTATTTCAGGATTTTTCCTTTTATCTTTGGTTTTCTAACATTTGGATATGATTTGCCTACATGTAACTTTTTTGTTGTTGTCGTTACATTTTTCTTTTTTGATGTCTAGATGAAGATTAAAGATCTGTGGTTTGGTGCCTGACTTTCCCCCCCCCCCTTTTTTAAGGTGCATTTATTTATTTGAGAGAGTAGTAGGGCAAGGGAGACACGTACAGAGCCATCTTCCATCACTGGTTCACTTTGCGTGACTGCCCAGCGCTGGGCCAGGCTGAAGCCAGGAGTCAGGAGCCTCTTCCAGGACCTCCACATGGGTAGCAGGGGCCAAGCTCTTGGGTCACCTGCTGCTGCTTTCCCACGTGTGTTAGCGGGGAGCTGCAATGTAAGTGTAGCAGCCAGGACACCAATCAGTACCCATATGGGATGCCAGTATTGTAGGTGAAGGCTGTTGTGCCACAATGCCAGCCCTGACTTTGATTTTGAAAAATGCATGATTTCATTGATTCGAGAATTCCTTCATGTTCCTTCTCTATTTCTTTTCCTTCTGGTCTTTCTCATTATGTGCGTGTTGCATCTAGCCTAGTTGTTATACTTCCCCCCAAGGCTTTTCTTTGTCCCCCCGCTTCCTGGCTTGGAAGCATTTCTGGGAGCACCTTCAGGCACACTGACTTCTCAGCTGTGTCCAGTCTGCCAGCAAGCCTGTCAAAGACAGGAGGTGTCGGTTTGTCGTTTTGATTTCTAGTGTTTCTTTTTTGTCTTTTCCTGGGAGTTCTATTTCAGCTGGGCCCATCTGTGCCTGCGTGCTGTCTGCTCTTCCTGTCGGAGCCCTCTGCATGTCAGTTGCAGGTATTTTAAAGCTGTGGTCTGGTTGATCCAGGGTGTCCGGTTCTGCAGTCTCGATCCTCTCTCCCCGAGCCGTGTTCCCTGCCCTGTAGTGTGCTTGGTAGTTTTAGTGCTGGTCGTGGTGAAAGCCAAGTGGGTACACTTGGTCAGAGGAACCTGGATTGGTTCCCACGAAAGTATCTTCCCGGGTGAGTTAGCATTCCCTGTTTCCACCCATCTGGGGCAGCCTTTTGCTCAAGGACCTTGGATCTCTGACAGAAAAGTGGCTGGTTTCCGTTTTGTGTGACGACGGTAGTCCTGTGGACTTAACCTTGGGGGAGCTGCGACTTCCACGTTCCTCACGCTGGACCAGAAGCAGAAAGCTGGGTTCAGTTCTTCCCGTGTCCTGCCTCCTCCCTGCTCTCTCTCCCTCCTGTAGGGTCCCCTCCTCTGTTTGTTGCAGGACTTTGGGGCAGGTGACCATACACAGTGCTGCCCTAGTTGGAAGTTTCTCTGGTCCTGTTTGGGGGTGGCATGACAGTGTGGGACCTGGCTTGGGGATTCCTGGAGATGAGGCTAGTGTTGTAGACTCATCCACATTAGTGAAGCCTTTGGTCCCGAACTCAGCTGCACTTGTCTTGTTTGGCACAAATCATGGTGGGTGTGTCGGGATCAGGGGTGGAGGCCGCCCCTGGGCGCTGGGACCATCCCCCATGCCAAGTCTGGCTCTTATGGGGTCCCCTGCAGCCCTGCCCGTGGTCCTGAGCTGTAGAGAAAACTGCTGTTCCTGTGACTGGGGCCGTGACAGGCGATGCTGCCAACTGGAGGTGGCAGGGGTTTGGCCTCTTCCTCCTTGCTTAGGGACAGAAGTTGTGGCCCATGGAGAAAGCACGTTATAACCAATTGTCTGAGTTTATAATGCCTGGGACGTTTCCTCCTAATGTGCGTCTGGAGACACTGGAAAGCAGCTGAGCTGAGTCTGAGCAGAAGGGACCTTGGGCTGTCAGGGGACCAGCAGCCTGAGGGCAGCATGCTAGGTCTTGCACTGCCTTGATCCCATGCCTGAGGCACAGCAGCTGTACAGTGAGCCCAACCAGGGATGGAGTGCTCTGCCCACTGCACAGAGCTCATCTCTGAACCCCTCCCCCAGGCCTGTGGTCTTACAGATGATGACAGATCAAAAGTACACAGCTTTCTCTACCCCAGAGCAAGGCCAGGGACCCCCGAGGGTCAGGCACAGGGCCATATCTAACCATAGAGAGGGTGCCCAACTGGCCAGTGTGGGGAGGGGCCAGGTCGGAAGTGCTGCATGCCCCTCCCCTTCCACACCAGCAGGGTGGGGTCACTGTACCAGTCTCCAGACTTCTGTGTCCCTCCATCTCATGGGTCCTTCTGCCTGGACTCTGTGCAGATGCGCCCTGGAGTCGCTGGGGAGGGGAACTGGGATGTTCCTGCAGCTCAGCAGATGTGCAGAGGGTCCCTGGTGGGGCTGAAGCCCTTCTGCAGCTCAGGTACTTTGCTCGGTGTCTGAGACCAAGTCCCTTAGGAAGGGTAGAAGGTGTAGGCAGACCAGGCCAAAGGTGAGGCTGCCCAGGACCTCACAGGGTGCCCCCTCTGCGTTTGCTGGGCTTTCCTCTGATGCATGAGGGCCACAGCTGGTTGGCTTGCCATTGTGTTTCTATAGCTATTATTTTCTCTTTAAGAAGAAATAACGTTTTTATCATCATTTATGTGAAAGGCAGAGGGAGAGTGACCAAGAGAAATCGTCCATCTGCCGATTCACTCCTCAAATGCCCACAACCCCTAGGGCAGGGTGCAGATGGAGCCCGCAGCCCAGAACTCACTCTGGATCTCGCAGGTGGGTGGCAAGAACCCAAATACGTGAGCCCTGACCTGCCGCCTCTGAGGGCACGCGCCAGCAGGAAGCTGGGTTGGAGGCTGAGGAGCCGGCTCTCAACCCAGTTACTGTGGTGAAAGATGCAGGAATTAGCGTGGGGGCTTAGCCTTTGTGGCGCACACCTGCCCCTGCGACCTCATGTGGGTGTGGGTTGCTCCCCCAGGCCACAAGCTCTAGCCAATGCCCATGAAGATGCCGCTTGGCTCCCCCCTCGGAGCTCATTCTCTGTACCCGTTCACAGGGTCCTGCTTGGGAAGCAACTGCTTTACAGCCATGCTGGGGAAGACTCCCTTGGTGGGCTGGGTGACCACTCCCGCTGTGACCCCTCATCTGTAACTGAGCCTCTGCCCGAGCCATCCTGACTGCTGGAGTCACCGACCTGGAGCTCCATGGCCAGGCAGAAGGCTTCTGGTGGACAAGACGCGTGGCCTGAGTGCTGGGGACAGTGAGGAGGTGCTCGGAGAAGGCCCTGGGAGACACGGAGAGGCACATGCAGGGGACAGCCAGTGAGGCCTAGAGTGGCCCCCACCAGGCTCAGGCTAGGCTGTGTGGCAGGGCACAGTGTGGAGACATGGGTGCTGTGCCCATGGCTACTTCAGCCCATGTGTGTTATCAGTTGGAAGCAGTGGGGAGCCTGCTATCCCAGGAGCCTGGCTGCGGCAATGCCTGGGCCCAGACTCAGAGAGGCTGCAGACATAGGCAGGTGACTGGGAGGCCCAGACATAGGCAGGTACACACACACACACACACACACACACACACACACACACCCCACACCCCCACACTCCCCTCCCCCCCAGGTTACTTGGGAATGGGAATGTGCAGGCCTGGGTCTGTGGGGTTATCTCATCTTGAGGAAGTTGTGGTCCCCTGGAAGCATCATGTGAAACTTGTTAAAAGTGCAAATCTGGTGGAGGTGTGCAGAACTTGCCAAGGGGTTGTGGCTCACATGTGAGAAGCGCTAGCCAGTGCCTTGAGTGGCAGGTGCTGGCCCATAGGTGCCCTGGTTAGGGTGTGCCGGGCCTGCCTCTCACTCTGCTAATTTGGTTTCACTCCTGTCTCCAGGATCCCAAGTGATGGTGGTTTACCTGGAGGATGTGCTGAGCCCCGTGCGACTGGTTAGCACAGTGACGCTGGCAGCCACGCCTGCCGGTGGGCTGGTGTGAGCCTCAGGTTCTCTCCATCCGGGCCCCAGAGGAAGCATGTCGAAGAAGGGGCGGAGCAAGGGCGAGAAGCCCGAGATGGAGACGGATGCTGTGCAAATGGCCAACGAGGAGCTGCGGGCGAAGCTGACCAGCATTCAAATCGAGTTCCAGCAGGAGAAGAGCAAGGTGGGCGGCAAGGGGCCCCTGTGGGCCTCTGGTCTTTATCGAGGACAGGGCCAGGGCCCCTCAGGACAGCGTTGGCCTGGGCATGTGTGTGTGAGGGGATGGCACCATGTCTGCCTGCTTTCAGCTCGCCCTCCTGGACGATGGTGGTGATGTCTGCAGTGAGTGCAGACTGCTGGTTGTAAATCTCCCTGCCGCCTGCTGGCCATGACCCTGGTCAAGCTACTCACTCCCACGCAGAAATCTCCCTAACCTGCAGTTGGTATCCTAACAGTGCTTTCTGGTGAAGCTGTGCTCAGAACTTGGTACAACAGGCCTGGGAGGGCCTGGCTCTGTGCCACGAGCGGGTCGGCCTGCAGGATAGTGCCCGGCTTGGGTGCCAGCATATGCTGTTGGGACCCCAGCCACCATGCCCAGCCTGTCACAGTGCAGGGCAGAGGGGATCCAGGTCTTTGACCCACAGGGTCCTGGCTTCGACCCTCAGCTGGCCCCCAGATGGCCTCATGAATGTGGGCCAGGGGCTTCCAGTCTCTGAACCTCTGTGTTGTCAGTTCACACTGGGCATAACCACAGCTGCCCAGCTCAAGGTGGTCTTAAAGATCCCACATGATGGGCACGGCACGTGTCTAGTGCCCAATCACTGCCATGGTCCTGGCTGCCGCCTGGCTGGCCCGGCCTGGGTGGGTTTGAGGGAAGAGCCAGCCAAGGCCTCTGTGAGTGCAGAGGAGCCTCTCTGTTGAGCATGGGAATGGGAGGAGATTTGGATTTGCCCAGGGGTTGGATGCAGCAATTGGGGTGTCTGACAAGGTCGGGGGGGGCCACACCCAAGTCCCTGAGAGTGGCCTGCAGGCCTTGCTGCAGCACCGGGAGCATGGGAGGAGGCTGTGTGAGGGGTGGCAGCAGGGCTGCCCAGGGTGAGTCCAGTCCTGAGGTGGGGAGTGGGCTGGGCTCTCAGCCCGACCCAGTTCAGCGTGGCTGCCTGGATAGCTTTGACCTTATGTCACATCTCTCAAGACCCAGCTTCAAACAGACTCGAGTTCTGAGGCCCTGGGAGTTAGGGTACCTGCACATGACCTTGAGGTCAGCAGACGTGTAGGTGGGGGTGTGGGAAAGGGAGCCAGCCTCAGGGACCCCACCAACCCCCAGGCCAACCCCTTGCCTTGGGGACACACGGATAAGGCCACCTTGACTGTCCCAGCTGCACCTTCCCCCAGGTGTCCGTGTGTCACTAACAGCACAGCCCGGGGGACGAGGTGATTAGTGGCAGTTTTTTGGAGACTGATGTCACTGTCTGACAAGTGATCTGATGGAACACGTGTTGGAAGGGTTGGAGAAAGCATTTGGGAGCGTTTGACACAAATACCCTCTTGGTGTATTTGATGACGTGTAGACTGTTTGCTGATGAGATGGGCAGACTCAGGCAGGACTGGTGGCCTGGCACCTGCAGGGCACAGGCTCTGGGGAAAGGTGTCCCTGGGCACACGTGGCTGTGCCCCTGGCTCAGGCAGGTCCTGGAGCTGTGTCAGAGCCACTGCTGCATGCTTCCTAAGGCTGGGAGAGGTTCTGGTGGGTCTGCAGCCCAGCAGTGGTGGTCCCTTCTCCTTCCACCTCCGGAGACAGATGTCTGGGGCCCTGGAGATGTGTTTCTGGCTTAAAAGGTTTCAGCCCCTGTGAGAGATGGTTTCTGCCTGGTGGGTTTTGCACCTGTTAACACTGGCCTTGCCCATGTGGGCGGAGAGGCTCAGTGCTGCATCTCCAGGTGTTTTTGTTGTTTTTAATCTCTTGGGGGGAAACTCAGAAACATTTCCCAGTGGGAGAGGATGGGGTAGGTGTTGTGGAGGAAGCAAGAATTTGGGGCAGCCCTGGGCATCTCCCCTGACTGCAGCTTCTCCCTGCTCTGGCTGCAGGTGGGCAAGCTGCGGGAGCGGCTGCAGGAGGCCAAGCTGGAGCGCGAGCAGGAGCAGCGGCGGCACACGGCCTACATCTCGGAGCTCAAGGCCAAGCTCCACGAGGAGAAGACCAAGGAGCTGCAGGCGCTGCGCGAGGTGCTCATCCGGCAGCACGAGCAGGAGGCGGCCCGCACCGCCAAGATCAAGGAGGGCGAGCTGCAGCGGCTGCAGGCCACGCTCAACGTGCTGCGCGATGGCGCGGCGGACAAGGTCAAGACGGCGCTGCTGGCGGAGGCGCGCGATGAGGCGCGCAGGGCCTTTGACAGCGAGCGCCAGCGGCTGCAGCAGGAGATCCTGGAGCTGAAGTCGGCGCGCAAGCAGGCGGAGGAGGCGCTCAGCAACTGCATGCAGGCCGACAAGGCCAAGGCGGCCGACCTGCGCGCCGCCTACCAGGCGCACCAGGACGAGGTGCACCGCATCAAGCGCGAGTGCGAGCGCGACATCCGCAGGCTGGTACGTGCTCTTGCCCGGAGCCTCGCCCGGCCTGAGCGCAGCGCCCCTCCCTTCCCGCACCTCACCCCCACGGGCAGCGAGCGCGGTGTTTCCAGGACCCGCTGCGTTCCAGGGATTGCTGCGGGAATGTTCCCGTCGGCCCAGGGGCCATGGGGTTGTGCACATGTAGTGTGTGGTCTGTGACAGAGCAGCCCTCAGGCCTGTAGTGCAGTTTCCTCTTTGGCAAAAAGGTGAATAGGGAAAGGCTGGGGTTGCAGCCAGAATCTGGGCGCTCACAGGTTCATCTGCTAACCACGGTTAGGTTAAGCGTGTTAGGTGGAGTTCTGACTCCAGGTAAGAGGTGCTCCGCTGGGCACTGCAGCCACCTGGCTGCCATCATGGCTGTTAAGTGCTGCCTGCAGGCAGGCGTGCTGCTTAGGATACTGGAGAGCTGGGGACGCTGTGAGGTCTGACTGGGCCCCAATCCCAGAGGGAAGGACCGGGAGCCCTTCCCAGTCTGCCTGCCAGCCGCTGCCCCTCCCTCCCATGGCTCTGGGGCTCCATGGCTTTGAGGTTGAGACGGCTGGCTCCCATGTCTCTTGGGCTTGGCACGCAGGGTCCTGACTGGGGCGGTTTGCTTATTGGTGCTGGGGGGATGACCAAGCAGCCTGGGCGCAAGGGCAGAAGGACCGCTCCCTCGGCCTTGCCAGCCTGCGCTGGCCTGCAGCAGAGGCATGGCTGGTCTGTTCTCAGACCCCTGTCCGACTGGGAACCTGGGTTGTGCAGGAGGTAAGAGGCGCACCAAGCTGCAGTTCTCGGGCCCTGAGACATCAACAGTGCTGAGCGGAGTCACATCCGAGTTACGGGCACAAATGGTGGGGATGTGGGGCGAGAGACACTGCACGCCCACCAACCGGAAATGGAGCTGTTTGGCTCTTTCAGTGTCTCAGACTCTGAGGCAGAAGGCAGCACTCGGGGGATGGTGACGTTCACGATCCAGTGCAACAGGACTGTGGGAAAGGAAAAGTTACTCAAACTGCAAATAGAGGGGTTTGTGGCACAGAGAGCTAAGCTGCCGCCTGCAGGGCTGGCATCCCATAGCAGAGCACAGGTCTGAGTCCTGGCTGCTTCGCTTCCAAAGCTGCAGGGGGTGACTTGGGTGCTTGGGCCCCTTGCTGCCCACGCGGGAAACCCAGATGGAGTTCTAGGCTTTCTGTTTTTCAAAGAAATAAATAAATCTTAAGAAGCCACCACAAGGAGCAGTAGAATGATCCACAGTTGTAGCTGGGATGAGCACACTTTCATCAGCAAGTGATGGAAACACACTTGAATGAAGAAGAGCAAGTGCAGTGAACTTGAGTGAAACCGTGGCCGTGCATGCCCCCCTTCCGTCTCGCCTCCGCCCACGCTCCTGCAAGCACGGCTCTTGTGACCTGACACAGGGACGTGGGGCTTCCCCAGTGAATTCCTCCACGTGTCTGAGGAGGAAATAAAACCTGGCCAGACTCGCAGAGTCCATGTGCTGACTCGCGGATGAAGCCTGCTTCTGCGACCCACGCTGGTGTACAACGAAGAAGTAAAAAGAAACTTGAGGATTTCTTGTGAACCTAGCCCCGAGGGTGCTGGAGCTGGTCTGCCTGTTACTGCGGGCTCCCTGGCGTGAGTGCCTGCCTGCCTCAGCCCCAGCTGATGGGGCATTTGAGAGGTTCACCAGCAGGTGGCAGACTCCCGCCTGTCTGGGTCTGCCTTTCACATGCTTGGCTCTGTTTTCTAAATCCCATCATTGCGTGTATTTGGTGCAACAGTTAAGCCACAGCTTGGGATACCTGCTTTCCAAATCAGGACAGCTGGTTCAAGTCCCGGCTCTTCCACTGCTGATCCAGCTTCCCGCAGCTGCGCACCTGGCACAAGCAGCAGAAGATGGCTCAAGCTTTTGAGCCCCTGCCACCCACGTGGGATACCGAGGGTGTATTCCAGGCCTTGGCTTTGGGCTGGCCCTGTCCGAGCCTGTGTGGGCATTTGGATGGAAGATCCCCTGTGATGATAATTTTTGAAATGCCTGCCTCTACAGTGTTCGTGATGATAAGGTATTGGGTGTATCCACACAAGCTCAAGGCTAAAACAGACCAACTGCTGCCACCGCTCCTGTTCAGCGCAGCACTGGAGAGGATGCCAAACATAACAGAAGTAAGAATTATGAAGATTGGGAAGAAAGGGAAGCTTGTCAGTTGAGATGCTACAGGTGAGACTCGTCTTGGTCTGTCCCCGTTGCTTTAGCAGAACGCCAGTGCCTTAATTACAGATGTTTTTACTTTATTTCGGGAGGCCGGAATGTTCAAAATCAAGGAGCCAGCAGGTTCAGTGTCTCGTGAGGAAGGGATGGAAGGCGGGCAGAAGGCCGCTAACCTGTTCAGAGGGCTTGGCCCGCTCACGTCCGCCCCACTTCAAGGACTCACCTTTTGATAACTGTGCCTCCCCACCCAAACAATAAGATATTACAGACCATCAAAATTACTGCTTGAGTTTATCTGTCTAGGACAGGTAAATACGCAAATGTAGTGGTTGTGTCTATGTGCAGTCAGTAACTGCAGAAGTGGAGAATTGAAAATTACTGTCTGCAGTGGAACACACACATAATTCAAATGCCTAGAAATAAACCTAGTGAAAATTATATGAGATTGTACACTGAAAACTTCAAAACCCCACCAGGAAAAGTTAAAAAGGGGCAGGCACTTGGCACAGTGGTGGAGACACGGCTTGGGACGCGTGTCCCGTATGGAGATGCCTTTCTGGCATGCTGCTGGTGGCTGGTGAGCAGGTCTGTGTCGCCCACGTGGGGGCCTGCTCTGGGCGTCTGGCTCGGCTTCAGCCAGGGACGGGGGCGCCTGGGGAGTGGATGAGAAGGTTGTAGATTTCCATCTCTCTCCCTGTCTCTGCCTTTCAAAATAGATCAAAATTAAAATGGCGAGATTTTTTTTTGTAGATGTGGCGAGTCCGCTGAAGTACCAGTTTCCTCAGAATCTGGTCATAGATTGGGTCCATGTGATCTCTACCAAAAATCCTCGCAGACTTTTTTTTTCCTTAAGATTTATTTGTTTTTCTTGCAAAGGCAGAGTTTAGAGAGGATAGAGAGAAAGATCTTCCATCTGCTGATTCACTCCCCAAGTGGCCACAATGGTCGAGACCTAGCCAGCCCGAAGCCAGGAACCAGAAGCTTCTTCCGGGTCTCCTAGGTGCAGAGTCTCAAGGCTTTGGGCCGTGCTGTCCTGCTTTCCCAGGTCACAAGCAGGGAGCCATCATGCCACCTCCCCCACCTCCTGACCCCCCCGCCCGCAGGCAGACTTGTGAACTTTGGCAAGCAGATTTTCTAAACAAAACCAAATTAAAACAACAAAACAGACCACGACAGTTGGTGGAATGTTGACCCCGCCCCCACCAGGCCATCTGCTGAGATGAAGTCTTAGTAAAAAGGGAAGCGTTAAAGCTGCTGGAAGGAAACTGAAGGCCCGTGTAAGGATGTGAAGCAGGTGGCGAGCAGGCCAGGGACCGGGATACACTGCAGGAAAGGCGCAGGGCGGACATAGTACCACAGAGGGCGAAGGTACTGCTGGGGCGCACTGTAGTCATTTGAGGAGCTCTTTCTCTGCCTTTTAATGAATAAATCTTTGGGAAAAAGAGCCATATATTCTAGAATCCCATATATATAAGAGTAGTTAAATCTGTGGGTTCAGAAAATCAGGCCTTTCTCGGTGTTGAGTGGGGGTTAGCTGCAAATGGTGTGAGGGATCTTACTGGTGGTGACGAAAACAGTCTAGAACAGATTCTAAACATGATTGCATCACTTGGCAAATTCACTGAAAATTGGTAGACTTAATGATACAGCGCTTATACCTAAAAATGAGAGAAATGGGAAGTCTAGGAAATTAAAGCAGTATTTATGAAAGTGTATATGTGAACCTTTATTTACATTAAGAAGGAGCTCATGTGTGTAAGAGGAAGACTGGCCCGCAGTGCCGCACTGGCCCACCGTCACTGGACGGCCCCTGAAGAAGGCTGAGATGACACGAGTGAAGTCACCGGAACTTGCTCCGTGTCCCCATGTCGTTGGAGTCACCGGAACTTGCCCCATTACCCCGTGTCATTGGAGTCACTGGAACTTGCCCCGTGTCCCCATGTCATTGGAATCACTGGAACTTGCCCCGTGTCCCCGTGTCATTGGAGTCACCGGAACTTGCCCCGTGTCCCCGTGTCATTGGAGTCACTGGAACTTGCCCCGTGTCCCCATGTCATTGGAGTCACCGGAACTTGCCCCGTGTCCCCATGTCATTGGAATCACTGGAACTTGCCCCGTGACCCCGTGTCATTGGAGTCACTGGAACTTGCCCCGTGACCCCGTGTCATTGGAGTTGCCGGAACTTGCCTCGTTACCCCATGTCAATGGAGTCACTGGAACTTGCCCTGTGTCCCCATGTCATTGGAGTCACCGGAACTTGCCCCATTACCCCATCATTGGAGTCACTGGAACTTGCCCGGTTATCCCATGTCATTGGAGTGCTACAAAACTAAAGCCTCTGTCAGCTTGGGATTCCACATCCAGCAAAAGCAGTCTCTAAAAGGTAGGGGTGAAATGAAGACATTCACATGTGCATGGCAGCCAAGCCGAAGTGCCACGGGAGCCTGTGCTCCTTGAAGTGCTAAAGACAGTACCTGAGAAGGGAAGCCGGACAGGTGGAAAACGCCCCAACGAAGGGAGGCAGGATGTCAGACATAGGCAGGATGTGAAGGCAAGCCCTGTTAGCTTCTTGAAAGCACATGTGACCGTTGAAGCAATGACACTGGTACTGGTTTGTTAGGTGAGGGTGGCCTGCTGATGGAACAGTCCACGTCCTCACTTGGAGCTGTGTGGTACCTGATGCTACTGATTCTAGGAGACAGAGAAACCAAGGACTGAAAAGCAGCACAGAGGCACAGCTAAAAAGCTTCTGGGGGAAATAAGACTGTATGCTAAAAATCCTGTGTGT